TTAGTATAGATGTAATGTAATAACCATATTAATGGTTAAATAATGTTCATGTTATGGTTCAGTATAGATGTAATACCAAGGGACTAAGAACCCCTCCCCCCCCCATAACATGAACATTATTTAACCATTAAGGCTTTTTGTAGGTTTCAACCCACAGCCTAAAGAGTCTATTGCTTCGGGGGTTTGCAGTCTCAAGTCTAATCACTTCACCTTCAAATTGTAAATGTCTTATAGTTATAACATAATAGTGACTTGGATAAACTGAAAACCGCCCTTTTTATGTATACGTGACCTTATAGGTGCTTTGTAGCATTGAATATAAGTACTTTAGTTTCTTTGACACCATTCATTTCTGTAGCAACAATGAAAAGATAATTACTTATAGCACTATAATCTATCAACATTACTGTTGGTAATGAATAACACAACTAACCACAGAAAATGTACAACATAATATTTACAGCATATATCGGTTAGCTCAATGTTTTACATTTTCATACAATAGTTACTTTGAGGAAAAATTGTTTTATCAAAAACCTGTACATTTCTCCCCATTTTCTCAATTTTTTTATTCCCTAATGATTGAAAAACGTCTTAAAGAATAACATAGAAGAGACAAACCTGGATCTACAAACAAATTGTTATTAAAATATTCAAAATTTTTGAGAAAATAATATTTGAACGTTTCTGAGAAGCACAATTTTCAGTTCATTTTTACAGAAAGTTTTTGAATTTTCAATAAACTTCATTACAAATCATTCTAAGTATTTAATGAATAAAGAACAGCTGTAACAGAATTATTAACCTTGTGAGAGTTAAAAAGACAACATCCAACATTTGTGTAATTTATCAAAATGGTTTTCTGTAGTTTACATAATTGTCTACTCTATGTAAATTACACAGTATGTAGGAGAGAGTAAAAAGGTATTCTTCAGTGAATCCAAAAGTTTACCAATAAAACGTGATAAAAAACACTTATATAAATCTACAAAAGAGAGTTTGCATTGTCTTAATATCCACATTCAAATAAAGACCAAAAGTTTACTTGATCAAAAGAAAATGTTGATTTGATAATGTTTGATAATAGTTCCAGAAACAGTCCTGCTCTGATGGAATGTAACCTACAGTTAGTTAAAAACATTTCCATAATTTACAAATTATCTTGATTAAAATAAACACAGGAGAAAAAAAAATTCTTACTTGTTCAACTTTCTGGACAAGTTCCACATTTTTCTTCTCCATTTCCACACACTTCCGAGTCTGCTCTGCCAGGGCAACTTTCAAGTCTGCAGATTCTCTCTCGGCCCTTATCCGTCGTGCACCCAAGCTCTCCACTTCTATGGTCAGTTGCCTACGTGCTCTTTCCGCCGTCTCCAGCTGTGTGTTTAGCTGCTTCACAAGGTCAGTCAGCTCCTCTTCTTTCTTTGTGGGAGCTCCAGCAGGATGGTCTCTTCGTGGCATTGGGGCAGAGAGTTTCTGTTGCAGTTCGGCTATTTGTCCCTTCAGTTTTGCATTTTCTGCCTTCAACTGAAGAAAATTATTAGTATCACTGTTGTGTTAACTTAACAATGGACTCTTTTTTTTCACGTCCACATACAAAACTTGACTACAATGCAACCCTGCTAATCTAAACCCCACAAATCTGCAATTTAGGAAAATCTGAACAAAATTTGGGTTGGAGGAAAAATAAACAAAACAAATAAAATGCTTATTTGTAGTGTAAAGAAAGGATTTTATAATTACTATACTGAAAAACTAATTAGAACTAAAACTGTATTACTGTAGAACTGAAACAAGTTATTTAAATGAAACATTTATTGCACTGGTAACTACGCTGTATATCACATGTTTATGTAGCAGAAATTTTCACTTAGAGGAACATGCAAAATCGGTAATCTTCTTTTGGCGTAAGGAACTAAATCTGCTTGATGCAACAGTTATGATCTGTTGCCATATTCTCACATATCACACATTGGTAATCCTATAGATGTATTTGTACATGTATGGTACATTTTTTGGGATAATGCAACATTTCCGAATCCGAACAGACCACACTTACAATTAGTTCAGATTACTGAGGTTCTGCTGTAGTTTTGCACTTAATCTTTCATTGAATGGCTTATTTCAGAAACAACAAAAGTCAGAGAACAATAATTTTCCGATAGGGGCAAACGAAAAGTAGAAAAAAAGTGGCTGTACATCATGAATATTGCTTTTTTTTGTCCCAAACACTCTCCAGATAAAATCCTTGATTTGTGTTACAAGCCCTGTGCTTTTCCACTTCTCTATCTTAAATTTAGCAGTCTACGATCCCAGAAAAAGTTTTCAAAATGTTAACTATTACAAATAATGTTAAGTTAAAAGAATACATCTTAATAGATATATCTTTGATCAATATTCAAAAGAGTGAGGTGAATTTTCTAATGATGCAGGCAATCCATTAGTTGAGATCTTGACATTCTGTTCAAGACAAGAAAGTCATTACAAATGGCAACTATATGGCCTTTTCAAAGGAAACATCACAATGTCTCTGACTTTTACACATTGCATTTACCTCCCTTCTTTAATGCATATTACTCATTCTCAACAGAGACTGACTCACTTTTTTTTATGTAAACCGCTATTTCACTATTTATAATTTCTGACTTTTGTTTTTTTCTTTTTCCAGAAATACTGGTCATCCTGGCAATCACTATAATTTAAAGTTTAGGAATTGTAATTAAAAAATATTCTAAATACCAACTAAATTCTATTGAAACAAATTTGAACAATGAATTTCAAAATAAAGCTACTGAATAAAGTCAAAATAAAATAAATGTTGGTTTCAAGAAAGACCTTGTAGAAATTAGGAAATAGTAAATATCTTTTTCTTCTTCTTATTTTAAACTATGATATTCAACATACACCACACAAACCTGAGTATCTGTTGAACTGCCACATTTTTCAAGATAATTCTTCAATTCAGTATTCTCTGCTTTTAACTGTAATGGTATTATCAAGCATTAACAAATGGTAATATTAAAAACCTTAAATATTTTGAACAAGCAATCTTAGAGAACAAACAACTCACCTTCAGGATAAGTTCTTTCGTTTCTTGGAATTTTTCTTTATGACTCTGATGAACTTTAAATACCTCGTCTTGCCACATAACCAAGGTGTTGAATTGTTGCTTCATTGCTAAGTTATTCTGATGAAGTGTTTCTGAAAAATTAACATATTTTTGTTGTTGAAAATTTATAAAATAATACTTGTAATTATCACTTTAGCCCACATTGGCATTTCTTTTGTCACCTCTGCCTCATTATAAGATTATATACATAAAACAATAAACACAAGAAGTAATACTATTTTTTACATACGAATTTATTAGGATGACTGAGAATAAAATAAAGAAAATCAGGACCATAATCAGAAAAAAAAATGAGGGAAAATTAAAGAAAAAATGTGTATGTTTGTCTGGAAGTCTGTTGATTCCAAATTTTTTCTCTATATGTAGACTCAGGCTTAATATGTAGGGCAACTATTGCTTCACTATATAAGCAGAGTGATAGCAACTACAGATCTATGTGAATTTAATGATAGCACAATTATTTGCTAAAATACCTCTTTGGTTCTACGTTCATTACACAACATGGGGAAGACAAGATTAAGAAGAGTGGGGGGACAACAGGATCACCACCATCCAAATGCTCTTGGCTGCCTGGGTGATAGCACATCTATGGCTGTATCGCTAGCCTACATTATATTTCAATTTAAACATAATGAAACTCCAAGGTCACAATTTGGGAGGAGAGGGGGACATTATCGTGCAATCGGGAGCTCCAATTGCAAAAATTTAAGTCATTACGAAGCTCCTGACTGGATAACAGTGTCCCCCTCTCTGTCCAGCTTGTGATCTTGAAGTGCTACCATGTTTAAATAGGAGTATACCTACACATCAGTCCTGCAAAAGACAACATGATAGAGGAACCAATGATAACACAACCTTCATCAGGCGGGTCTCCTAGAGAGCCCAGAGCATTTGCTTGACTGGACACAGAAGCATCAGATTCCATTTTGCCATCCAGTCCCCTTCTCTGAGGAAGGATGCAAACAAAATACTCCAAACAGAAATTAAGAATAATCTAAACCTCGCTACCACAATGGAACAGAAAAATTCCTGGACGAAGACAGATTTTGCAGAGAAATAAATGAGTTAAGTCGACTTGTTTACTTGATTAAGAAACAAAAAATATTTGCAAAAGAAGAGTAAATAAGACTTAAAATTCTACAATGCATAACTACTAAAACAAGAACTGAATTTAACACAATCCAAAAATGAACACAATCATTGCTACTATTGAGAATATAAGTTCTCCAAAAATGCAAAGAAGACATTATATTCCTGTTTCATTTCATGATGCATAACTGAAGACAGGTGGATGATATCCTCATTACTAGAGAATGGATTTTGAAGTAAATACATATTTTAACAGGTACTAGATACCTACATCCAGTACACTACTTCATAGTTGTCAAGACATTCTGAACGAATTAAAAACATTTTTATTTTACATGTTTGAGTACAATTACATATTTTACATATTAAAGCATATTTTCTACACATTTCCTCAAATAATTGTATGTAGAAACATAATTGCAAATAAATGTTCCGGAAATAGTTTTTCTGCACAACGAAGGAAAATAATACTGCGCTTTTATGACCTCCGGGCCACCGGCACGACCTGCCAACCCGTTTCTTGAAAACTCCATACTCGGAATCAAGGTTGAACATATTTGTGTATCAGAAGTAATTGCGCCGACCTGGATGGCCGAGGTGGCTAAGAGCATGTACCGACTCAGCGGTTCAGTCCGCAGGATCGCGGGTTCGAGTCCCGCCTTTGGGACGGTGGTCGCTGGTCTCTTATGTGGGTGGCCGCGGAGGGCCTCGCGTTCTGCTGACCCCAGATCAGAGGAGCCCGCAAGTGTGTGGGCCGAATATGCTTCCCATCGGGACGTAAAGGGTAGCTGGCTGTCGGCTGGACAAGAGGGCTAGGGAAAAAAGAAATTGCAACCACGTGCTCGTCATATTTTGTTCAGCCAGCCGTACTAAATCAGACAAAAAGTTTTCGCGTTTGGTGTACCCAGACAGGCAATGTACACTCGTAAACGCAGGAAACTAAAATGCGGAACATGCTCACGGAATTTCCCCCCTCGCCTTTAAGAGATCACTCCTTTGAGATCCGTTTGTGACACTTGCATGAACGCCGTTCAATTTCATAGTTGGTCTGTGCGGGTATTTGCCGATCCCGGGCCTGTCAAGGGCTGCTTAGATTATTCTTTCCGCACGTGTTCCCCGCTCGGATGCGAAATCCAACGCAGAGTGACGTGGTTTTCCCATCCAAGTCTCTCCCAGAGTACAGTGATAAAGCATCAGGCACGGACAAGATGTTTTATCAACGCGCGGTGTAGTGGAGTGAATGTGTGTGTTTGCGGGGGGGGGGGAGGAGGGAGCAAGAGTGATTGAAACATCAAGCGCGGTCGTGGACCATTTGGTAGGAGTTATGATTTGGCATTCGCCAAGTATTACACGAGAAGCTACGAAACTATACTCAGAGCAGCTGGTCGCTAGAATTCCACTTCAAACTGACAGAAAACATCGAAAATCTGCACCGGCGTGATTCGAACGCTAGAGATCGACTTAGGTGGCTCAGTACATCAACTGATACCCCTACATTACTTCTGTCCGGGACCACTACCTACGGTATAGAGTCTCATCGGTGGCAGCATTTTAATGTTGGCAAGACAGCTGGGTGACGGAGAATTCTAGCGGCCGGCTGCTCCGACCAACGCCAGCGCAAGCCGAAGCAGCGCCCTGACAAGGGATCACGGACCGCGCGCAATGTGCCTCTTCTCTTCCTTGTCCGACGTCACCCTTCGCTAACACACCTGCACTACATAACCGCACTCGTGTGAACACTAGTCGGCTGCTTCGAGCTGGCCCCGGCTGGGGCGAGATGCCTGGTTGGAGTAAATTCCGCCAGCTGATGCCACGGTCGACGGCCACCATCTGGTGGGGGATTACAGCCACCTCCCGACGAAAACATGCACTACACTTGCGGAACTAATGACCATAGCAATGAAGGGGCCGTAAATACGAAATAACCAAACGCTAGGCCCTCCGGGCAAAGCTGCAGAAGCAACGAAAACAATGTCGATTCCGTGAGCAAGGGTGGGTTGCAAATGCAACGGTCCCCCGAATGCTCCCTCCGACCCGACACTGTGCGGGAGGAATATTCACGTGTTTCTCGCCAACAACATTGCATATTCTAGCTACGTATTATACACTTTTAAAACTCATTCTTCGGTGAAGATCGGTCCACTTACTTCCGATGAGTTGAACGTTTTTCGGCCGCTCCGAAAGGTCTGATAGGAGTCGTCATTTAATGTTCAGAAATTTGAAAAAGCTCCTACGGGGCAATTACGTTATTTAATAGTTATATTATATGATACATTAACCGTTAATTAATATATAATAAATTACGCATTATCATTAATTTTTATTTTACATATTTTTGAAAAAATAATCACATACATACATGTACATATTTTCCTTCTTTATTACAATACATACATACCCCTACCCATTATTAATAGGCCAGGCTATGCCTCATTAAAATACATTATGTAATAAAATAAACAATCTTTAAAATTGTTTAAGATTTTTAAAAATCCAAGAATGTAAACGTCACTGTAAATCACACAATACCTTTAAGTTCAACATTCTCTTGCAAAACTTCTTGAAGTTTTCTCTGTATTTCTTCTGGGCTCAGGTCAGGGAGGGATCCCGGAATGAAACTTGACGTCTGATAAATCAAGAATAGCCTTGCTTACTGATAAATACTATTGATATTCATATAAAATTAATGGGTAAAACAATAAGCGGAAAAAATGCATGACCTTGAAAATGAAATTAAATAAAATATATAATGTCATAATTTCTAACAATAATTAAAATACCATGTGATTAATATGATTAACATTTGCACTTGCACATTATTACTGGTACGCGTTCCCAGGCGTGGTGAAACGAAAGCATGGTTTAGACATACTGCAGAGCTCTGCTTTTCCGTTTTCCCAAAATTTACGGCGATTTTCACCAGTTCCTTGAATTCCTCTAGGTTGACAATGGAAAACTTCCTCGACTTTTATACTTTGAAAATTAATTTCGTTTTGTGGATATTAAGATTATATTCCCTCTGGTTCCTTGATAATTAAAGTACCAAATTGATAATTATTACTATTGTTTAATGAATACTTTAATTAAAATTAATGTGCCTCGAATTTTATGGATAATAGGTTAGAATTTTCTTGAGTGTACTTTTTCTCTCCCATAAGGTAAATAACAATGTTTCCTTGATTGAATTGCTGCAAAATGGTTGCATGATTTTATTGCATTATATGTATCTATTAGGCTTCTCCCATGGTATAATTTCCTACTGAACCCTAAAATAAATTGTAAATCAAATGCACCAAAAATACTCTACATTCAAAAATACCGCCCAGCTTATTGAACGCACCTAATTGGTCGACAGTATGTTATATCATTGCCCCACCACCGCGTCGTCCGACATAGTACTACCACCAGCCGTTTAAGGGCAGCACTGACGCAGGGCTTATTCGCGACATTAACACATAGTTTGCCGCCCACGTCTGGCCTGAATGTAGAGTAAACAACTTGGTAGAACATGGGAAAATTATAACATTGACCTGTGATAACGGACCAGTTTCTCAATTATTAAACGGAAATGAACTAGAAAACAAAATTGTGTTGAAAATTATCCTTTCTTCTACAAAAAAAATGGAGCACAAAAAATTTAAACATTTGAAGAAGTAACTTAAGGGATATTTGAAAGAATTTTATTATTCATTATTTTTATAGCTGAGGTTTCTTGTTTATTACTGAATGTATTAATGTAAATTTTAATATAAATTATTTTATTATTCATCACGTATTCAAAATTCAATTAAATTAGTAACAAGGGTAGAGAGTTCAGTGCTCAAGAAAACTAGCACAGTTTTACTTGTATCCTGTATATCTCACAGTTTTTAACTAAACGAGTACTGACACTTTTTATGTGACCAACATGACTAGAGCTTTTTACTGTTAGTTTATGTTAAATAAATAAACAACGATTTGAAATACAATTCAAAATTGTATCTCCTTTCAAACAATTTGAAACCATCCTACAGTAACAGTGAAAAAATAAGAATTACACAATTGCATTCAATAAAACAACAAATGAGATTTGCAGTTGAAGTGTTAGCCAACTCTGTTGTCAAGACCCCCAGCTTTTGGCTCTATATTTTTTTCCACCAAACTAATTATGTATTATTTATTTTAATTCCTAAGTTTTTGTTCAGTTCAAAGAGTGTAATATGTTCCACATTATTTTTTTTATAGCTCAAACACAATTTTTTTTATATATCAGATTATGCAGTATTATTTAATAGAATTAGGCACTTTTGCTTAGATAAAATCTATCACAACTATTTTTTACTGCAATAGTTCTAATGTATATTGAAATATAAATGTGGTAGCTAGTAAGAGTGCAAACCAAATAATTTATCAACTTATAAAGACAAATTTTGTTTAAAACGATCTCATCACTGACGGACATTCTCGCATCAACCAGCAACATTCCATATTATAAATATTCTCCAACGATATGCAACATCACTCCGTTATGCCAATTTTTTGTGCATTGTTTAATCATACATCACTTTTTATATGGTTTTTAATTTATATTTTGAAAAATTTAGAATTAAATAATTCTTTTAAGAACTATGGGGGACTGGGCTCTTGATGCCCATGTGTCAACATGGGCCTGCTGTCTGTATATGACCTAATCTTGAAGATACAGCAGCAATACAGGCAAGCTATTAACTTTATAAAAATCATACTTAAATTTAACTGATTTGGTGGAAAGAAATTACAAACTAAATTTTCATTATAAAATACACATAAGAAATTGTATTGTGATAAACTGCAACTATACACAATTTTGTCACTTTTCCTACGATACTATGACAAGATTTTGATTTTCAAAGAATGTGATGTCACTTTCAGTGTACTCTTTTTATTGGCTTCAACCAGAAATTATAAAATAAAGAACAAATGATCCCAATGTCACATTATTCTTTTACATTTTACAAATATTTTAATAATTTATCCATAGCTTTCTCTTAGAGAAGCTACTGTAAAATATCAATCACTTTCATTAATAAATTTCTAAATATAAAGGCACCAAGGTTGAAATAAAAGTTTCCTCCCCTTCATCACTTTATACTAACTTCATCACAATTTCAATGAACACATTTTTAATAGATCTATACTATGATAACAATATTAGAGAAAAAAAACTGCTCTATCACTCTAACAACTAACAGTGCATTATCCTCACCTTAGAGCATTATATGCTTAAAGATCCTCACATTTCTTTTCAACTAACTTTTATACCAAACGTATTAATACAAAAGCCAAAATACATACCGGGGTCTCTCGTGTTTGATTCATTATGCTTGGAGAATCAAAGGGTGCTTGTGGTAAATGAGGGTGAGCTCCATTCGGAAATTGTGATCTGTTGTAGTCTTGAAGTGTGTCTCGCTCTAGAACTACAAAAGAACCGTCGCCTTCCACGGAGACAGGGCCATTTCCTGGAGAGACAGCTTCGCCCCGTTTGTCATTAACTTTCACCATTTTCCTGTTGAAAATATCATACTACAGAAATGGCTAATTGAGGTTAACCGATATTTCGGAAATAGAAAATAATCAGAGCTATGGCAATTGTTTGACACTGCACGTACACATAACCATGGCATTTCTAACACAATTACATTGAAACGGAAATATAAACAAGGATGGGGAATCACCTGCAAGGCTATGAGCACACTAGAATAGGAATGACGTAATGCGAATTTGCGCCAAATGCGGATCTAAATCTGAGTGTTTATTTAGATCCAAGCTATGTTGAATGCCGAAACGTATCTGAACACAACCGCAGAATCCGAATGTTCCACGGATGAGGCTACTAACTGAAATGCATGATTCAGAACACCACAGAACACTGACTGCACTACAACTTGATAACACTCTTCTGTTGTTATTCCTGTCCACAAGGCGTCCACCGCACGCGGTTGCCAGAAGATGTCACTGTGTCAGATGATTCTAGCAGGTCTACCAACATTTCTCACAATTTTGCCAACTTGTATCATCAAGAGGCCTTTTCAAAAACCCAATTGAGCGATACAGTATTTCCATTCGTCTCTTAAACTACTTGTTTTATGAATAATATTTAACCCTTCAATAAGTATTAACATAATTCTTCCTCATTTAAATCATTATCCGCCATACACCATATGTGACACGTCATACGTCATACTCATTATTGTATGCGACTCAAAATATTTTTTATTATTATTATTAATTATTATTATTATTATTATTATTATTATTATTATTATTATATTATTATTATTATTATTAATCCCTACATTACGACTGAAGATGATCTGAATATAAAATCTACTCCAGGTTGCAGCCAGCAACCTAAAGAGCAGATCTAGGGACTGTCAGTTCCTCTACAATATTTTGCGAAAAATGTAGGCTATTCCAGATAAAGCAATTTCTTGAACTTTCCAGTCTTTGAAAGACCGGGGAGTTTGTGCAAGTTCTCACACAAATTTTGCGGAACAAATTCAAGAGATCCGATGACTATCGGAAGTACCAGTGTTTTTATGCTCCACCTTGGTCTTATCTCCATTTCCAAACTCTTGTATTTATGACGTTTCTGTCTTCTTGGTTACGACGTTTTGATCGCAAGGCACAGCAACATCTACAAGTAGACACGCGTTTTTTCTCCAAATTCCGGATAACAATATCCGGTTTGTTTGCCGCTAACGTGCGATCAGTTTGAATTTATTGGTCCTACAATATTGTATAGAGTCCAACAGAAGTCACTAGTTTTGGTGAGAGTTCGTACCACTTGCGGCATGGGTTTGGAACTTCGAGGGCGGCACAGATCTGCCCAGTGGAAGTAACTACAGACCCTGTCGCGACTTTTCAAGTTTACGGTCTTTGCTAGAATTGGACAAGCTGAGACGATATGAGCAATGGTTTCTACTTATTTCTGGGAAATGTGGAATTTATCATCTTGAGAAATTTTGAAAACCGCTTCATAATGTCGTGTTCTCGACGCTTGATCCTGAGCAGCTATTAGAATTGCTTCATTTGTTCATTTTGAAGCTTGTCTTCATATAAAGTTTCCCCAAAAATTAAAGAATGTTATTCAAAATCGCTGACTTTTGAGTAAGACCAGATATACAGGGGAGTATTGAGTTTGGAAAAAAATATTTTTACCATCTCTTGATAAATGATGGGAAAATGTAAAGAAAAATTTAGAGCGGTTATCGAAAAAAAAAAATATTTAAAAAATTTTAACTGAATGTTTCATGCAAAATTACTCGTATACTACACATATTTCATCAAGGGAAATATGTTTATATACAATACTATAGGTGTAAAAAGACGCACAAAAAATTACACTTTTGCAATTTTCGAAAAATATTGGGTTTCAACCCTCATGAGATCTGTGCGATTCTCTAAAGCGTCCTTTACGGTATCCGAAGGCGAAGTTTGATAAAAAAATTTGGTGCCATAAGGAAATTTCGAAAACATTTCTGAGATTTCATGTAAAGTAGCGCAAAAATCAAAATATTCGTTTGAATCTGTCTACGCCACGAGTTCATTACGATCGATCGAGCAATATCGATTTTGAAGAAAACCGGCTGAAAGGTTTGGACGCTATCGTCGACTACAGATGGACAGACAGTTTTGCCAACAATCGAGTTTTCGGTATCGAGGACTCACAAAACGTGGATTCTGGCAACACCATGTGTTAGAGATTTTCTTTTTGTAAATTTAGCTATTGAATTTAACTTTTTTTTCCTTACCAGGGCTCTGTAATAAGAGTTTCTCTGCCGAAAATTCGTCGTTTTCAGACGCACGATTACACAACCTTCTCTTATGAAGTAAGTGCAAGATATTTAAAAAAAGTTTTTAACAATTTTTGACCTCTCATTTGTATGAGAGGAGACTTCTTCAAACATGATGACTTACACTATGTGATCGAAAGTATCCGCACACGTCCAAAATGTATATCCAAAATGGTCGCTGATGTTATAAACTCCTGCTCGCTTCTCACTGTTAAAGAGAAATTCGGTGATAGTGATTGCATTTTTCAACACGATCGAGCACCTGTTCTTACTGCATGACCTGTGATGGAGTGCTTACACGACAATAACATCCCTGTAAGGGACTGGCCTGCACAGAGTTGTGACTTGAATCCTATCGAATGTGTCGGAACGCCGACTTCGTTCCAGGCCTCACCGGTCTCTTCAGTGCAGCTCTCCGTGAAGAATGGGCTGCCATTCTCCCAGATACCTTCTAGCACCTGATTGAAAGTATACTTGCGAGAGTAGAAGCTGTCATCAAGGCTAAGAGTGGGCCAACACCCTATAGAAGTATAGCATGACCGATGGAGGGCGGCACGAACTGGTAAGTCATTTACAGCCACTTATTCGGATACTTTTGGTCATATAGTGTACCTTCTTTAACATGAAGTTGTATTGGAGCCAGACAAACGAATTCGGATTGTAAACACAAATATTTACTGATAATGAGCCGGGTGCACGAGTGGCACTTTACGCTTCGTAACGCCTTACACTGACCTCTTCAGCGACGTCTGTTTGCTCGTTTATTCGTCCTCGTGGCTGTAAACAACTTTAGAACATTGCAGAAGTGGAGTTTTACTTTCTAGCTAACGTAGTATAGAGTAAGTTTTGCAATGCTGCGGCAAACGCGGCGCTTTTTTGACAGAAAATCTGATATTGTGAGGCTCCGTTACCGAAAAAGGTGTAAAACGTGTTCCTCTATTTATATTTTACTTCCTCTAAAACGTTATGTGATCAGAATATACATTTGTGGGTACTTCATACTGATAAATTGGGTGAATGTATGACGTATGACTGATCGTCCTTCCAACAACGCAAAGCAAGAGCCCAAACCATTCAGACGACTTTCTCCAAGCCCCATCGATCTGACCGCCCTAGCGGCCTCCTAGAGGGGCACCCCCGCCAAGATAAGGTGGGGCTCCTGGCATGTGTTGTGCATTTAAGTGTATGTTTAAGGGTAGAAGTGGGGACAAAAATAGAATCAAGAGAAATGATCACGCTAGGTCCGTGGCCCGTTTGTTAGGGTACTGCTCCAGCGTTGGCTTGGTATTGATTGGAGAAACCACGGAAAACTACCGATCACAGCAGCTGCCCAGTAGAATTCTCCTCCCGACAGCGGCTGAACCCATTTGCTACGTAGCCACTGCCGAAAATCTGCCACCTTCGGGACTCCAACCCCAGTCCCTCTCGCTCAGAGGCACTTCAGAGATAACGGCAATGATGGTTCTGTGTTAACTCAGGAAGGAACAGCGATCTCTCCCGGCCATAACACGAACTACGCTCCCGAAATAAATGATCATAACAGGTGCCTCGTCCTGGAAAAGGAAGTACCTCCCTACTCGTCGCCTCCGCAGACTTTTCCGCGGCCCGCGAGATCTCGCCTGCGCGCCGGTGGGCAGCGCGAGCGCATCTTGATAAGCCCTCTCAGGGGCGGAGGCGAGCGCCAGCGAAGGAACGGCCTGCGGTGGGCGTAGCGGGGCGGCAAGGGGGGAGTGGCGGGGCGAGGCCGAGGGGGGCCTGGAGAGGAGGGGCGGGGCCCTGAGGGGCGGGCGGGGAGGGCGAGAGGGCGGGCTGGCGGGAGAGGAAGGCGAGGGGCGGGGCAGGGAACCAGGCGGGGCGGAGGGGACGGGGGGGTGCGGGGCGGAGCGGGGGCGGGGCGGGGGAGGGGCGAGGTGGGAAGGGCAAGCAGGGCGGGAGAGGTGGAACGGTGCAAGGCAGGAGGGAAGGGTTGGGGGTGAGGAATGGGGCGGGGCGAGGTGGGGCGGAGACGAACGCTAGCGGAGTGTGGAAAGCGGGTGGCTAGGCGGAGAAGCGGGGAGGGTGGGTGGGGCAAGATGGGGGCGGGGCGTTCGAGGTGGGAAGGTTGGGGCGGAGGGGCGGGGCAGAGAGGGATGGGGCGGGCGAGACGAGGCGGGGCGGGGCGGGGCGGGGTGGGGGCGGGCGGGTGGGGCGGGGCGGCCTGGGTGGAGGCAAACGCCAGCGGGAGAGGGGAGGAGTATCTTAACAGAGTTTCGCAATCTTCGGAATGAGAAATGCTCCGCTCCTCCTGTTGGAGATCGCGAGTCAGCGATATTCACAGCTGCTACTTCGGATATCTGAGGATAACGAAAGAGGAGCCGCGTGCGCTTATTACCGGAGTACACAGTGCTCTCTAAAAGTAGTTTTCCAACGCAGATTCCATCGGGCTGCCGCTGCTTCTGTGGCAGACGCAATTCCCAGGCGCGGACGTTTCGGGTCCGTGCCCCACTGCGTTCGTTTTAATGAAGCCAAAAGTAACACGAAAGAAAGGAAAAGTTTGTAAAGTGCCAGAGAGGGATCGTGTACGCCTACAAAATAATGTTTTAAATTACTCCGATAAAGCACGGAAATGGCATCTTGGATTAACATCCCATTGAAACGGATAAGGTTCATTAAGTCACATATATAAAATTTTTTCTAGTACCCAGAGAATTCCAATGTGTCTGTGTATGTGTGACGAGCGAGATGACAATGATCGGATTGCAGAATAAATTGCAAAATACTGTGAAACCTCACTGAAGCAATGAACAATGGTTCCGACAAAAATGTCAGTAACAACTTTTTAACGACATCCTAACTTTTAAGTTTGGAGTAAGGTTTTGTTTCTTTTGTGTCAGCTAATTTCTCTCTCAATTGTATACGAAAACGTCAAATCAGGCCTCTGATCGGGAGGTCCTAGGGTTCGAATCCCGAATGGCAGGATTTTCGACACTAAGTAGATAGCTGGGTCGAATTCACTCACTGTCTGGAGGAGAATTCTTGCGGCTGGCTGCCCTGATCTTGAATTTCCCGTGTTTTTTCCAGGTGAATGTTGGAGCAATACGCTAACAAATGGGCCATGGACGCGCGATCTTTCCTTCCTCTTCCTTGTCCTATCCTCACTCTCTCACTGACTCACGCACACTTTCGTGAACTAAATTT